AAAAGCCACTTGACACATGTAATGTGATAGGTGACACTTAAGATAGATCGGAAAGTAAAAAAATAAGTATAACCAGATTTACTAATTGTTTTCCCCTTTTGCTAAACAAACAAGCCTATTTTATCATTGGATCAAGCCTTAAATTCACGAAATCGGACGGTTTGGAATATGTGATAATTTCAGACAATCCTGGCAAAAATTATTGTGGACACCGTGTGCGTCAAACAAAAATAGAAGTATTTCCACAGAATTAATCCCCAGAAAATTTCTCCCCCCTCCTACCCCCAATTCAATGTTGGTAAATGAAACTTTAAAATTTAAATGCGAGAAACAACATTGAATAGGGGGCAGGGGGCGACAAGTTTCATAAAAGAACGTCTCAATGTTAATATTAGCGTTAGAAAAGTTAGGTGTCCACATAATTTTTGCCAGGATTGTCTGAAAATAACCTAAAAAACAAATCCATAATTTTCACCTAAAGCAGGCCTTTTACTATACATTTTTGATGTTGCCATTGCTTTAGAATAAGAAACAGATTGTTTAAACTAGTTTAAGTTTTTTTTAAAGCATATTTGTAATTTTGTGAGTGAGGAGCTATTGGCAATGATATATGCTTTGCCGAGCTAATTATGCAGACGCAGTAAGACGAGTTTTCAACAAAAGCGCTTTATGCGCATATGCAAATTCACATCAAATACAACAGACTATAAGGTTATTTTAGTATATACACATCCAAAGCGCTCACTATTTTCAGATTTTTTATAACAAACGCAGCCCAACAGCGACTGTATAGAGCGCCTTTAATCTAGCAGTGACGTCACACGGTACACGGCTGTGTAGCGTAGTGATAAAAATATTTTAGCTGTGTATTCTTTACTCTACGCTACACAGCCGTGTACCGTGTGACGTCACTGTTATATTAAAGGCGCTCTACAGTCGCTGTTGGGCTGCGTTTGTTATAAAAAATCTGAAAATAGTGAGCGCTTCGGATGCGTATACACTAACATATCGCTATGGTCTGTTATATTTAGTGTGAATTTGGTTACGCTCACAACCGTGTACCGTATCAATTTACTAAACTTTCAAAATAACATTACTTACACATTTATACAGTTTTATACAGTTATATTGTATGAATACACGGGAATATGATGCTACGTGCTCCAAACGTACCCATTGCAAAATGTTGCAGGTTAACAAAGGATCTGCATTTTGAAATGCATGTATTACCAACAATGCGAATCATTCACGCTCAGGAACTAAACATAGATCTGCTTGGCTGTAAGTTATCAGGTAAACAAACCTCGCATTTTTTGGCTGGAAATTTTGCATTCAGATTTGACTAAGTACTAAGACATCGTCGTTCTCTACGATGTTCAATAATTTGTCATACGAAGATATTACTTTGCCTTTGTAGAGTTGCAGACTAAGTTGTAATTGTATAAATCCAGATAATACGTAAAAAGCCACTTGACATGTAATTTGATAGGTGACACTTAAGATAGATCGGAAAGTAAAAAAATAAGTATAACCTGATTTACTAATTGTTTTTCCCTTTTGCTAAACAAACAAGCCTATTTTATCATTGGATCAAGCCTTAAATTCACGAAATCGGACGGTTTGGAATATGTGATAATTTCAGACAATCCTGGCAAAAATTATTGTGGACACCGCGTGCATCAAACAAAAATAGAAGTATTTCTACAGAAATAATCCCCAGAAAATTTCTCCCCCCTCCTACCCCCAATTCAATGTTGGTAAATGAAACTTTAAAATTGAAATGCGAGAACAACATTGAATAGGGGGCAGGGGGCGACAAGTTTCATAAAAGAACGTCTCAATGTTAATATTAGCGTTAGAAAAGTTAGGTGTCCACATAATTTTTGCCAGGATTGTCTGAAAATAACCTAAAAAACAAATCCATAATTTTCACCTAAAGCAGGCCTTTTACTATACATTTTTGATGTTGCCATTGCTTTAGAATAAGAAACAGATTGTTTAAACTAGTTTAAGTTTTTTTTAAAGCATATTTGTAATTTTGTGAGTGAGGAGCTATTGGCAATGATATATGCTTTGCCGAGCTAATTATGCAGACGCAGTAAGACGAGTTTTCAACAAAAGCGCTTTATGCGCATATGCAAATTCACATCAAAT